CATTGGTAGTGTCAGCCAGCTAACTTCATTGTTGCCTAACAAAGTTTCATCCTTTCGAGTTTTTAACTGACAGCACACAGTTTGAAAAATTTAGTTTTAAGTGTGCTTGCAGTGCATATAACAAAATTCGCATAAAAGCAAAAGTCACTTTGTCATAGCTGTTCGGTTGGTTTGCGGGATTGAACATGTTAAGGAACTCGAGCTACGAGGCGTGCTGCAGTAACCACCTGAAGTTCATCAACAGGTACATAAATCGAAACGTGGATGTTCTTTGCGTTTCGATGCAATTTAAATTCGGGTGCCATGACAGCTGAGTCGACCCCGTGCCCTTGAGTTCAGCAGCACCGGCGTTTGTGCTCAACTTCCAAAGTGGGTCTAGCTGGTTGTGATTAGAGTCAGTCCAGTTCCCAATCACCTATAGCTGCTGGAACACTTCCACAATTGACGAAGTTGGCTATGTCTGCAGTTCTTTAGTTAAACATTACATGTCATCCAGGGTAGAGCCACTGACGCTGGATGAAAGAGCATTTCTCTTTCATCCAGCGGCCGTGGTAGAGCTGTGCGCCGCCGCACCGCGCCAACGCCCGTTTTTGTTCACGCCGTTCGCGCTGCCGCCGAAGTTCCGAAAAGGACCGCCGGACAATAGTTCGCGGCGTGCCACCGTTTGTCTTAATTTTAGCCAAGCGGGAAATCTGGGCATAAAAAAAAAAAACATTTAACCTTCTTTTCTGCAGCTTTATGATTTCTAAGAGCGGCATTTGCAGAGTCTTAACTGTTCTTTTGTTTCCGTGTTTGCATGCTCTAAAACAGCTTCAAAAGAAACGCGGTGTTATTCTTTCTTAAAATTTCTCGCTCTTTTGGTACCCTTCGTGACACCGGAACAGTAATTCACGTGACGTTATTAGGGCACATGCTCTAGAATGGCCCATATACGAGAAATATCATGCAGTTGTGAACTGTTTTCTACCCTGCTTTGCCGCGCATTCACCTCCCGCCACCCACGTTCTTCCTCACATCTTGCAGAATTATCTTATGCGATGAACGTAAGATTTCACAGCATTCTGCGAGTTTTTGATTGGGCAAGCGGAAATACGAAGAGTGTAGCCGAGAAGTTCGAAATCCTGATAGGCTCAAACTCTTAGCGCTCACATTGCATACATGCTTTATGAAGACATAAATGTCGGAGAGCCTGTGAGAATTGTAGTAAAGAAGTCGCAGCGCAGTGTAATCGAAAGCGAAACGAAAGGAAAAAGGCTCCGAATTATTTCATTCGCCCAACGGACGAATTCTTTACAGCGAAGAGAACGCGGCTATCCACTACAAAGGCCAGCCCGCTTCGACGTGTTTTACATATTTTTTGATTGCGAGAAGAATTATATGGACACTCTTTACAAACTTTCATCGTCCCTGTGATGCTTTGTATAACATCCGAATAATTTACTTTTGTACAGACACTATATGCTGTTCTTGCCGATGAAATTTCGCTAGTGCTATAGCGAGGGACCCTGCTGAAGTATAAATGAAACAAACTGCTCATCTCGGTCGCACGGAAGGCGCATGCGATAATATCACTCCGCGTGCGATGCCTACCGTTGATTGCCCCTCAACCGGAAAGGAAGCCCTGCCTGTCTTAGCTGGACGACGGAGTATGAAGGGATACTCGATTAGGAGACTGCGTTGCTCGATCCGCAACTGCGAACTTCGAATGTAAGGGTGGAATCGCGAGTGCTAACACGCGCTGGCGTGTTCGCTATTTCAGCAGACATCAGCGAGCGGCTCGTGTTTACCCTTCCATATGCTATGATATCACTGTACGAAAAATTGCCTCTTTTTTTTTCGCGAGCAGCCGTATTCTCACAAACCAGCATTTTAAAGTTTCGCAAGAACCAATGGAAAATAGTTAGCTGCAGCTTAAGTTTGTTATGGGGCTGTGATCTCCGAACACCCCGTGTAGAATGTGAAGTCGTTGAAGCGTTTTCTCACCATAATACTGTTGAAGTCGCCTCAAACTAAGCGTGTTCTATTGAAAGACCTTAGATCGAAACTGTTTTGGAGTTGCTTAAGGTTGATGACACTTCGTACTGGACACTTTAGCCTCATCGTTTGAGAAATTTGAATGTTGTAGGAAATTTAGCAATGCTGATGCACCCCTTTTTAAGTTTTTTGATAATGACTATCAAAGTATGTGCTACAAAAATATATTAAAGGAACCAATTATACCCATGCTATCATAAATATACAATCCATCTCACTGAACCGCAGACAATTATTATCTCCGACTCACAGGAAGCGTGCTGTTTCTTTTAAAGAGGTCGCCTTCCGATAAAAATAAGAAAATCCTTAGACGGGAGATTGACGAACAAATACAGGCTGATCTGGTGTACAGGACACGCAGGCCTGGAGGGAAACGAAAGTGCCGACGCTTTTGCTCAAGGGCTCACGAACCGAGCAGAGCTTCGACATCCTTTGAAACACTCCAGGAGGAAGCTATCGAGGAGGATAATGACCCATCCAGAATGACCCCTTGCGAAATTCTTGCTAACCAACGAGGTATGCGACAAAAATACAGCGCCCCCCTCAAATCATTTGAAAGGGAGAACGCGATTGACCTCCGCAGAATTCAAACGAGAGTCTTTCGCAATCTTCAAAGATTACACAAAATTTTTCCAACGCTGTATTGGCATGCGTGTCCGTGGTGTGGCGGCTCGCCATCGCTCTGCCACATTTCGTGGGGACGCCTAAACCGACCACCAAATTTAGATACGTTTGTAGGTCAGTACAAGCTTTCTAATACTTTCGAGCAATGGGAGGCACAGCTCGCCAGCTCTGATTCAGAGCTGCAGCTTCCGTTTCTGCGTCACGTCAAGCAGGCGGCAGCAGCCAATGGAGCCCTGGACTTGGGGCCCCAGCCATCAAGGTCATGACCCCTGTCCCCAATCCTTGCGAATAAAGTTTTTCCTTCTTTACTTCCTTCCATCTCACTCGTCACATAAAGTGCTTCTGTAAGAACCGTCATTACAAGTGTAATGATAGTGCTTTTTAAATACATCTATTGAAAACTAAACACAAGCTGAATTCAAGAGGCTAAGAACTACTACTTATGAAAAAAAAATCCATCCAGGTTCTAGAGGATGATTAGCCCTGCATCCTCTATGCCCTGATCATTTATTCTTGATAGCCAATCCTCCTCAAATTTTGAGGATATAGCAAATGTCTTTAATAATTACTTCGAATATTTTTTTTTTTACGGATAAAGGTATCACTTCTTCATTTTCCGCGTGCAGCAAACTACTTGATCTTCCTAATCTTGAATTGGGCTCCTCTGAAGGGCATAACCTAAAAGTAATTTTGAAGTTACGAAACACTCTGGCCCAGATGGTAGGCCAAATGTATTTCTCAAATGGTACTCAGTATGGTGTGCTAATTATTTTTTCCTAATATTTGAGAAAAGAAAATATCTGCAACAGTTCCCCCAACTGTGGAAATTAGTAAACGTCGTGCCCTTAAGTCCGAAAACAAGCAAATACCAAATTATAGGGCAATATCTTTCTTTCTGTACCAGCTCCACACTTTTGGGGCATATAACAAACACTACGTAGAATACCTGAACGCACACAAGATATTTTATCGATCACCACACAGCTTTTGTGTTGGCAACAGACCTGCTTGAATTTACGCACAACATTGCTGCTTCCCTTAATGACTGAAGACAGATTTATGCCATATTTATTGACTATTCTAAGGATTTTGACATGGTTTGCCGTGCCAAACTTGTAGCTTCTTCAGCTTCACAAATTTTTAGTGACAACAAGCTGGTTGACTGGATAGCAGATTACTTGCGATCGCGCTCAAAACTTATTATGTTTAATCACGCTAAGTCATCTGATGTACAGATGGCATCAGGGGTACCTCGAGGCTCAGTGTTTGGCCCGCTTTTGTTTATTATTTATTTAAGTGACGCAGCCGAGATTGTCACTAACACCCAAAATGAACTTGAAATGTATGCAGACATCGCTATCTGTTACATCATCTCCAGTACTCAATATCAAATGCACTACTTTTTTTCGTCATTTCATAACAAGAGTGAAACGTGATAATTGTCTAGCTGCAAAAATACTGTAGTAACCACTTCTTCAAAAAAAAAAAAAATAGCCCCTTCGCTCTTCATATACTAACCACGGTGTTTAGTACGCGTCATAGAGTTTAAATACCTTGGTGAACTGTCCCAACCTATTTCAAATGGCACAGTATTTTGAAACTGTGCAAGACCTCCGAGAACTTTGGTATCTCCGACACACGTCAAGCCGCTCGACCAAAGGATGCGGACAGACAGGGCATAAGATTTTGGTCAGACCCGAATAAGGGTTGGTTTTCTGGTGACCTTACTACAGACGTGCCATAGCTTTGTGATAATCTCTTTAAAAAAATCAATAAGGTTTATATTTTGTCGCTACGATCAGCGTTTCTTGTACAGACTTTGAATACGCATGTTTTTTCGCTGCAGCGCCTGTGAAACATCGAAGCACTCTCAATCGTGTCATCCTCCTGCATAAGTTCACACTGGTTCCAGTGTTGCAGCACTTATATCCTTCGTTGCATCTTCTGCACACCGTACCCGGTGGTTTGATCCTCTAAATACTGCGCCCGATAGATCAATTAGGAATAATTTCCGTTTTCTTTTGTTTGTTGGTTGCTTTTTTAGCGGACCGTGCATTTTTTGAATGAGCCTGATGGGTGTCTGCGAAAACTCGGTTATGAGCGATTGGAAAAAATAAGTGTACGAACATGTATTTTGTTAAATTGTATTTTCAAAGGTGCTGAACATTTGTATTCACACCTACTATGCCTTTTTTTTTTCGAAAATGAAGGATCAAGTCGCTATCTCCACCAACTCTTGAATCGTGACTTTATCCCCCCTCTCCGCACCGCCGCCGAAGATGGAAACACCGGTGCCAGCAATTTTGGTATTGACGCACAGGTCTAATCCAGGGCAAACAAAATTTGGCTTAATGGTAACTTTATTCCAGTTTACACATTACACCAAACATTTCCTTTAATTTTTCAAGAGCTTTAAAGCTTTGCAAGAAGATAAAAAATGTGAAACACTTCAGTTAACGTGTGACGAGGACAGCCACACAGCACAATAAGTGAACTGAGTTCTGCTTGCACTTGCACTCGGCTGCCAACCAAAACGTCAGCTAAAAAGATATAAAACTGGAGCTCACGTCTAGCCTGACGCATCACCATAGAATGCTAAAAAATAAAAACACCTTGACATGAATAAATAATGCAAGTGCATCCGCAGTTGCATAACTGGCTCTTGCTTCACGCCGAAAGCAACACCTAGGAGGCAATGTTCTAGATATGGCCGCTTGCAGGCAACGCTCAGCTACTTGGGGTCATGGAAGCTAAAACGGGCAATCAATGTCATCAGAATACCTCGAGGCTGCAAATACACAAGGGGGAGCACAGATATATATGGAAAATTTCAACATTCCTCACTGAACCTTCCGCAAGTCCACAGTGCCAACGTGCCCGATTCGCTGCCAAGCAGCAGACATGGACAATCGAATGATAAAAAATTAGTGTCAAACAGTCATTGCCACACCTCAAGACCATTTTGAATTGGTATCATCGCAAGTACCTATTGCACCCAGGTCGCCGCAGTCCTTGCATTTTCACAAGACATCATCATCATCAATACAAAATTGTCAAATAGAAAGTGGCCAACACTAAAGCTCGCTCATAGGGTCGCAACCTCTTAACACCTAAAGGTGAACACATGACTCTGAAATGTATGTCAAAAGGGGTCAAGATCACATTTTGCAGTTCAGTTAAGCTCACACAGTCACAAGATTTAGGTCATTGCTAGCCTTCAATGTTCAGCATAGCTCACCAGACTGTGCCCTGAACAAATAAGCAGCAATAGCAATCTTAATCTTTGCCTACTTTAACCAAGTATAATAAACTGCTTCTTGCAGATTAGAGCTGTCTCCATAGAATTTACTGATTACATTTAGGGACAGTTTTCACTATTGGAGCATACCCTCACTAGATAGCACTATTGAGCCACCTAGTGATATATATGGGTAGCTCTATTGAGCGAAGTCTCACTAGAGCTACCCATATCATAACATAGACAGGCTCAACCAATCAGCATTCACCGATAGCTAACCATCTGGAACATGGCACATGATAGCTGAACAACATTTGAATCTAGGAAGTGCCAGCAGATTAGCACTAGTTTTGTTGAAAAGTTTGTTCTGTGCATTGTCCCGACTTATGTTAATATCTTTCCCCTTCAGCCAAATGAGGCGACTGTTTAGCTATCGCCTCGCCTTTCGTAGGAAAAATTTGAGGTCATTTTCATTTCTTACGATCTCCAAGGAGTACCTAATTCCAATTCTGCATAGCTTTGAAAAAGACTATTTATCTTCGTGTGGTTCTTTAAAGTTTTCAAATTTTTACTTGCTACAACTGCCAACATTGCTACCACACTATAATTTCACACCAAGGTGAACTGGACACAATCTGTATCACTTTGATTTTCAGCCTATTGTTACAGCATCATCTGTAACTTCTTGCAAATACAAATTTACATATAGTCCAGTATTTGTGAAAAATCAAAATACAAACAAAACAGTTAATGATGCAAATGGCATCCTCTTGCAGAGCGTTTCGTACAGCTTCACACTACTTTGTAGTTGCTGCAATCTTGTGCGCAGTATCCTTGTGGCAGCCACAAAAAAAAAGTACAAAAAGGTTGCCAAGACACTTGCTGCTGGATATCCTTGTTTGAAAACAATCCTCACCAAGTCTTTTTTGCAGGCAACTCGACCGTGAAGCAAAAGTGAAGCCTCATATAAGCATGCTTTTCTCATTCAGAAAAATTTTTAGAAGAATGTTTAGTGTTGCATATTCTGTGCTGAAACTACTCACTGAGCTCTTTGTACTTCGACAACACTGCTTTCATTTCTCAATGATCCAAGCTACCAAACGTCAACAAGTCAACAGTTCATACCAACACGCACAAAACATGCGCAACTGGTCACACTAGACCTTCCACAGCACACTGACATAACAAAAGACACACTCCCAGGATACCACATTCACTTCATCACAGGTAAGTGGGGGCGAAGCAAGGAGGACGTCACCATCAATCGAGATTCTGTTCTTAAAGGAACATGTCGGCCAGGTACGTATCGAACTCTTCTTCCTGGCTCTTCTCTTCTTCGGCAGTGCTGGGTTTGCTCCAGACGGACTCTTCAGCGTCTTTGCCTTCTTCTTTTTGATCTTCTGTGGTTTCTACTCTCTCGCTCTCCCCTTCGCCCGTTTTGGCTTTCTTCTTCTCCAAGCAGCTGCCTTGCTTAGAAGACGACCTCTTGGTCGTTGGGTTTCTGGTGAGCTCCTTTCTCTGGAAGCGGTAGTTGAGCTTGAACGAGCACTCCTTGCACAGCCTGAGCTTGACCAGGGCGTTCTTCTTCTCGTTGTTCTCGAAGTACGCGAAGTTGACCTCCCAGGTGCGCAGTCCCGCGTTCTCCTTGCAGTGGCGGTCGCCGCAGCTGAATTGACCTTTGCCCGCGATCACCTCCTGTTCGGTGCGCCACCGCATGGCGATCTTGCTCGCCTGGTAGTAGGTCAGGTCGCAGATGCAGTACTCCTTGAAGAGCTTGTCGTAGTAGCGCTTGGCCAGCTGCTTCTCCCACGTGGGAGGCTCTGCGTCGTCGCCCTCGTCGTCCCACAGGAACTGGTGGTTCTCGCGGATCACGTCGAAGTCGGTGCGGTCCCGACTCGCGTCTCGCTTCAGCTTGGACGTCGAGCCCGGATAGCAGAGCAGGTAGTCGTTGATGAGCTTCTTGTGCCTCGTGTAGGCGTCCAGAGCGAGGAAGCAGTTTCGCTCGCGCCGCTTCTCTTCCAGACTATACTCTCTGGCCACCACGTCCCGGTGAGCCTTGGGCTCACGTCGCGGCGGCGAAGGCGCGACCAGGTCCCTTCGGGAGGCCCGCTCGTCCGCCGCGACGACCGACTCCGAGTCCGTCTCGAAGTTGGAGTCGTACTCATTGCTTCCTCGGTGGCGAGCAAAGTCGAAGGCGCCATCGCGCCCGTCCTTCTCCATGACCAGCGGATGCACAGACGTTCACGAAATAACACAAACGCGTCAGCGAGACGTCACGCGCGCTTCAGAAGACGCGCACTACAGGCCCTGCACGCTGATCGAGAACATTCAACGGCGCTTTTCATAAGCCACAGAAAGGCGGCAGGCAATCGACTTGTCACTCACTCGGGCGTAAGATGGCAACGCGAGATGCCACACTCGCTTCTTCAGTGAAGATTCCCGTTTTCACAAGTCAACACAATCCCACAGTTGGCTCCTCGATGCACCGGTCGGCAGTAATCGCTGCTCTGTACGAGGAAGGAAGGCAGCGTTTGCAGTGGGCAAACCGTACCACCGCACCTTACTGCCAACGTGACGGCACCAAAATTGCTACCCTCAAGTGAAGTCTGAGAAAGCGTATTGCTGCGCGATCCAACGCAGGCCACCCCATAACGGCTACAACCGAACCGAGAGCTCCGAGCTTGCGACCTGCGCCCGCGAAAAAACCACAGAAATATGCATTCTAGTACACTCTAAATATGCTGCGCATGCGCTGGGTGAAATAACATGCATAAAGGACAAATAATCTACCATAAAAAAAAAAATGAGGGCCGTCAAGAAGACAAGATTACAGACAACGCAGTCTTGAAAGTTCCAAATTTTTTTTGCTGAATATTCAACTTTCCTTCCTCCATGAGTTTAAAGGCTGAAGACCGAAGATAAGCTTTTTACCATGACCTACTACACTCCTGACCTGTTCAGATAGCGGGGTTCCTATGGGAGCGCGTGTCCCCGCTCTCGTTCAATCGCTCGCCGTAGGTGGCGCTACCTATAACCTGTTCGTCTGCTTCTTTACGGTTGTTTTGTAGGCGCTGGTATAAGAATGCCTGCTTTCTGTGGTGAACTGTCGGCATATATGTGACTATTTCTTCCCATACATTGCTGGTCAAGTAAGCTGTTCAGTGCGCTTAAGAATTTATAGCACACTGGTTGACAAACGTGGAAACCCGTGGATTTACATGATTTTGGACAGCCTATGCGTTGTCGCGTGCATTTTATTGCAAAAAAAATTCTGAATGTCTTTTAGTATTATTATTTCTGGATATTTCTAAATTGTGGATCATAAATTCGCACTACGAGTGCTTTGTTGGTTAAAATTTGACTACAAAGAGTGAAGGTGACGTCAGCGAACAGGTGCTGCCTAGCGCCACGCCGCTCGTAGGTGACGGCCCTAGCGGCAGAAGGTATGAACTAGAACGTGGGCGCTGGAAGAGGTGCTCTCTGGGCAGGTCAGGAGTGTAGTAGGTCATGCTTTTTACATTTGACTGCAACCGTAGGAGTATGCCAGTGATAGCGCTAGCAAAGGTTCTAATTCGCGCAACAAGACGTCACGATGACATCACTCAATAAGTACTCCACTTCATCGTTCGCTTCTTGAACGCTAGTCGCGCTGGTGGCGGCCTCTCTAGCTCAGACATGGCGGGCCCAGCGGACGACGTGATAGCTCAGATCAACGAGTCTCTGAAAGACGCCCTCAAAAATGAAACCACCAAGTTCAAGCCGACCCCCGCTGGTCAGGCAGTCGCCTACACCAGCATCATGCTTATGGCTTTCTTCCCCATCGTTCTGGGTGCCTTCAAATCCGTCACACACCAACGGAAACAAAAGGCCAGTATGCTTCTCTCATTTCCTACCCCGCAACATATGTCAGCGCCGTGCGTTACACGTAAGCATCGAAACTGCCGTCGTTTGGGCTCTTGCAGCAACACCTGCGTATACCTTATGAACTCCGCACTTAATATATCCTACGATTGTTATAGTGGCGGTGGTTTTATGCCAGCATTAGCGCGCTTCAGTCATGCATGCCTGTCGTAATGCTAAGGAGACGTGTCAGTCGGGCCTCATGCGTTACGACACTTGTGGTTACCACATTCACCGTTATTTTAGACGCGTGATGTAGCTTTCGCACAACGTTTTTTTCTGCCGGTTCGAATCGTTCGTTCTTCAGCCACATGCTCCACATGATACCGTGTGCGAGAACCGAAACATGTGACCCACAATAAACGGCGCATCGCCTCTCCTAAACTTGTTTGTTTCGCAGTGAACGGTGTCATTCGCTCTCTCTGCCAAGTTAAAGCTGTTACGGATGTTCGTGCAGTTTTATATCGGTTGGAAGTCGCCTGCTGTTAACACGACACGCTATCTCAGTCTTCGGCTGGCAATGTTCTGTTTGGCCCTAAATCTGGCAACAGACTTGTGCAACGCCAAACAGAACCTCGCCCTTCGACTTTATGTATCGTGCCCCGAATAAAAGAAAACCCCGAGTCAATGAAACTTTCGTCGTCAGGGTTGCCACTGTCTTTAGAGTGAAATTCGCCAAACAGGGAGCAAAAAGTCGCCATTTTCCTTCAAATTCCGCCAAAAATGTCGCCGCTCTACATATTTGTAGCGTGCCTAGTAATAAACACTGCTAATTATTTATGGCCCCGTTGAGAATAATACCGTGCGTAGCCCCTTAATTGACGTTTTTTTAAATGTCAGTTTCATCACCAGCTTCACCCAAGTAGCACTCAGAAAGTGCATACGTGCATGCACCATCAGCGTCCATGAATGCTAGCGCCTCGTAGAAGTTTGCGATGGTTTTAGTTGTCGCGAATACAGGATGAAGCAGTCGCTACAACAAGAGAGGGATGGCATGCGTAGCCTTCTTGAAAATTTCGAGAATCTCATTGAGTGGAATCGTGTGTTTCATAATCGAACAACTTAATTTCAAAACAATTTTCTCTGGGGTCATGCTTACGCTAAACATTCGCCTCAGTGCAGTTACTGAAGGCTGTCCAAAGAAGTCGGCTTCTTGGCTGGCCCGAGAAGAATGTTAGTAAGAAATTTGAACTCTGCATAAGAAATTGGGGGCTACTACAGCAGGGAAGACGACGACAGGCTATTTACAACAGCTGGAGCTGTGGTGGGAACAATCAGCCTACCCGTCACCTATTCACGTCAAAAGGCTAACATTAAGGAAGTTTAAAGCTTTTGAAGCAGAACTTGGCAAACACCACCACCTCGTGGCACACAAAGTAGTCCGCTGACCTAAATTGTGCTTGGAGGTTGCTGGTGGTTGCGCTAGCGCCTCCAGGATCTTGGTGAATTGAGGAGATGCACACGAGGTTGGCGCACCGAATTGCGCGTAATTTGTGCACTTCCTACTGGTGAATCTAAAACTACAAAAAATCGAAAAAATGTTGTCGCCTGTTTCTTCTGAAGACACTTAGAATAAAATGCATAACTCAATCGAGACCTAAGCCAAAAATTGCCTTGTCACCAATCATAATTCTAGATCGCCACAGGCCTCTCCAATTCGCCGATTTGGCAAAAAGTAGCCACCAGTGGCAACCCTGTTCGTCGTACATGTCGAGTGCTCACGTGATATCATTTGTATTACAGGAGTCCGGCGAAAAGCCCGAAACCATGACGAGGAAAGATGCCGCCATGTTTCCAGTCATAGCCAGCGGAGCGCTGTTTGGGTTGTACATATTCTTCAAGGTACGATATGAGCACGTTCAAGCACTCAGTCGTGGATGTACTCCTTCAGGAGCCGCCTTGTTGAGGCCTCTTGTGTTTTTGGAGATGCCGGATTCCGTATAGTGTGATCTCCAGTCTACCAGCCGAGGAATGTGATGTTAATGATGGGTAGCATTTGATACTTGTTTATGCTTTGAATGAAATCTGCACTGTGCAGCAGCCGGTGAACAGCGGTCTCATTATAGTTCCCTTGCCATTTCAGACTTCAGTGTTATCAGTGTTATATTTGCGGCAGCAAGTTAGCCTGATAGCATTCTAAAATGCATTGCCTGCCAGGAATGCGGCAGCTTGTTTTGCCATGACACATTCGGGTTTCGCAGCGTGCTGGCGTCAGTAAAACTGGTCGGGAATTGGCGGCAGACAGGAATATTCACTTTTAAAAACTGGTCGGGAATTGGCGGCAGACAGGAATATTCACTTTTAAACACAGGAATAATGACAGCTGTGTTTGTCACAGGGTACTGAACTGGTATAAAGGGATTTTTTAAAACTAATTTTTATGTAGTAAGACTATCAGACCACTCAATTCTACAATAAAGGGAGGATATTAAATCTAGCCCTCTTGCCTTCTAGGAATCAAGAGAAAATAGATTTTATAGTAAACCTGGGTCGATACAGATATATCTCGAGTTACCTTTATTAGGAATGCATTTGTTCATACAATCTTAAATAATAATCTCTAAAAATAAGCTAATAATAATAATAATAAGCTCTGCTACAATTCAAGTTTGTTTTGCTCGGGTGCATGTGAAAATTGAGACCCAATGTGGTGGTCTAGTGGCTAAGTCGCTCGGCTGCTGACCTGCAGGTTGTGAGATCAAAACGCGGCCGCAGCACTCACGTTTTCAATTCAATATAGGCCGAAATGCTTGAGGCCCGTGTTCTTCGATTTAGGTGCACGTTAAAGAACTTCAGGTGGTCGAAATTTCCAAAGCCCTCCACCACGGCGTCTCCCACGGTAATATGGTGGGTCTTGTGGCGTTAAACCCAACAATTATTTTCGTTTATCGAAATTGGCTATGTGGATACCCTAGCATATCAAAAACAGAAGTGTCACCTGGGTCTGCATAATCCTCCACTTGCGTAGTATTATCATGTCTAAATCGTGAAACATTCAACAGAACGGTAACAATGGCCAATCTGTGATCAGAAATGCCACCCTCAGTACATCTCGTAACAGCGTATTTTATTTATAAGTAGGAACGCAAAGTGCAGCACTTGCTATGTCCAAGGTGTTATTCTAATAAATTCATTCATTTTTACATCAAGTTCTGTGCACACAGTATTTTCAGCGTATTTTTGCCAATATTTGGCAAGAAAGCATTTTATTTCATGTATTGCATCCTGAAGGCCTTTAAGGTACAGCCATAAGAGGGATATACAGATTTTGAAACAGTACAATAAATGTAATTGGTAACAAGTTGAATGAAAGAAAGAGAAAAGGCAAATACAGCATTGGCTACACAAGGACAACTTAATAGGCTCTGGTAGGCACATATTGTTTGAGCAAATGGGTTGTTAGTTCTTTGTGAAATTTTTCTTGATCTGAGCAGGAAGCAATGGCGTTAAGAAGCATGTTCTGCATGGTTATTGTGTGTGGGGAAAAGGAATTATTCATTGTTGTTGTGAGACCCACCACTTAACTTATCTTAGATAATATGGGGTCTGTTGAAGCCTCTAATTGGTATAATCTTCGTGTTCTCATTCGTACGGCCACAAAGGAGGCTATTTAATTTGTTTAGATATTCCGGCGGTGTGGCTAGTGGTTCGCCAATAAGGTGTGCTGTGTTCAAAAAGCTTAAGTTACACTACACTGTTTCTAAAATGTTAAACTAAAATGTTAAACAAAAAAAAGGCCGCAACTGAATTTTTTATTGTAGTAGTAACTCTGCCCTTTTGAGAGGCTGTGTCAATATCATGTTTTCTACATTAATCGCTAGAGAGAACTGAGGTGCCTTGATTGTTGAGCCCCCATGGTTATCATGAGTACCTCATGGATTTACCTATATATAGTGATTGTCTATATATAGTGATTGTCTATATATAGTGAGCGGGTTAGGGGAGACAGAAGGTTAGTTGGGCAGATGAGATTAAGAAGTTTGCGGGCATAAATTGGCAGCAGCAAGCACAGGACCGGGTTAACTGGCAGAACATGGGAGAGGCCTTTGTCCTGCAGTGGACGTAGTCAGGCTGATGATGATGAGTGATTGTCTTCATGCTTGCAGCATTGAACACACTTGTGGCTTTATTTATTGTGGTGTCTCTGCTGCTGTTTCGGATGTAAGAATGGTTGGTTTGTAAAGCGCTTGAGCTGTTTGCTGAGCCTAAAGGAGTCAATGTAGTGAAATAAGACTGCTGAACTTTTCGTCTTATTACTGCAAAGTGGCTGCAGGCCTTACCGAGGTGAAGAAACGAAGCTTGTGTAGATCCATATACTACTAGCACCCATAGACACTAGTGCCAAATTTATCTCTAGAGTGCTCTTCTGAGACTATGCCTGTCACATCTGAGCGCTTTGTAGCCTTCTGGTGCAATGCAGCCCGTGGTCACACCGTTGTGCAGCCGTGTTTCTGGTATAGCCTTCAGGTGTGAATAATTAAAAGAAGCTGGAGCTTTGCCTGCTGGGATGAAAATGATTTTTCTACAGTGTTAGATGTGCCCTCTTCTCATGTACTGTGTGTGCTCATCTCGGCAGCCTCAAAAGCACCCCTCTATCTCCTGTTATTGACGTGGTCTTGACAGAAGCATTGTTTGTCTCAGTTGATGTCCTACCCATATATCTAGCAGTTTATTTTTATCTTAAGCACCAGCTTAACCTGAGCACCATTTTAGACAAAGCTTTACTTTTTTATAGCTTACACCGTATGTGAACTGGAACTGTATTCGTTGCTAAAGTATTCGAACTGTATTCGTAACTAATGGTTATGTAACTGCACCGTTCTGTTTCTTCAGTCTGAATGATGCCTTCTTTCTTGCAGTAATCATAAAACTCTATAGTTACGGGCCTATCTCTTTCTGGTGTTTCTTTTACCAATGTAGTCTTCGAGTTTTCTAGATTTTCACTGCAAGGGTTCTTTTTTCTGACCTTTTCCCAAATGAACACAAGCTGTGCTCGTCCACGCAATGAAGCTACTCTGATTCACTTTGCCGAGCTTTTCTATGCTCAAATTGATCATGTAGTAAAAATTTTTGTTTTAAGACTCGCTATGTGTTAGAGGGGTTTTCCTGCAGTTGAAGACCAACAAAAGAAAAAAAATAATGTAAAGAAATAAAGTGCCTCTCTCTGTTAGCACATTTAGAACAAAGTAATACTGAGCCGATGAGATTAAGAAGTTCGCAAGGATACCGTGGCAGCAAAAAGCGCAAGAACAAGTCATTTGGCAGATAATGGGAGAGGCCTATCCCTGCAGTTGGTGTAGTCAGGCTGATGATGATGAATACTGAGCTATTCACAGTACACAGAAGCAGTTGTTTTCTGTGCAGCGTGGTATCATTTACTTTTTTCTATACCTGGGAATTTTGTTCTAAGGTAGCTTGCAGTATGCTTTGTCTTCTTGCTGATATACCTGCTGTGATTCAAGTTTTATGTGCAAATTTACGTGACACTGTGCATATAAGTGCGTGTGTGTACACGTGTATGTGTGTATGCCTGTGTGTTTAAGTCAATGCATACACGGTTGCCTCCACTGCATTGCAGGGCTCTTCGTTTGTCTGCAAAGCGAGGGCAGCTGCTGTTGTAGCACGACTATGTAAACTCCAGTGATTCTGCAGACAGTGTGTTGGTATTCTTGCATTGGACTACTACAGAGCTCGGGCTGTTCTCATGGTGTGCTTTGCACGTCCTTGTTGTGTGCAGCTCTTCTCAAAAGAGTACATCAACCTCCTCCTCACCGGGTACTTCTTTCTACTCGGAGTATTAGCCATGGCTCACATACTGAGGTGAGTGTACGGTCGTCATGTCTGTTCATAAACTTGAGCAATAAGTATGGTTTTCGAATCCAACAAGAGAGGTCTCGCATGGCATATGACCGGCTCGTCTTTGGCATTGATGTCTGCTGGTGCCATTCTCTTAGCGCATCTGAAAGGTATTACAGTGCTCCTTGCGTAGCTAGTCTTACATATCCATTGTGATACAATGGGAAGCTTGGAATCTTAGCATAAGGAAACGCCTGCTGCTCAAAAACTTATGAAATCATTTACTTTCTACTATTTAGTTAGTTGGTTACTTATGCATACCTCAGCCTGTTTGAGCAATGGTAGGAGTGAGTGTGCATGCAAGTAAAAATAATTGTGACAGAGACAGGAACATAAGAAAAATGTAAAGGAACTGCACATCAGCATAGAATTTAAAAAATAAGATATGGATAACGAGCCTTGGCAAGGGACTAATTTCACTGCCCGAACATGCGGGGGAAAAACTGCATTTCCAAATGTTAGTGCATAAGTTAGTGCATGTTAGTGAGGTCAGGCAAGCAGTAATTCGAAGGGAGGGATCTGAGAGGTGACAAAGAGAGGTTTTATACAACTAGAAGATCGTCAGGGATTCTATGTGCTGCCACCGGGAATTTGGGGGATGTGGGGAAAGTGGTTTCGGAAAATGGGCTTAAGGCGCTGACGTAGAGTTGTATGTTGGCAGTGCCGTCTGGTGGCACTTACTCTAACTGAGGCGTGCTGTTCTTTGGGCACATCTCATTTACATGGATGTTTGCCTAGTCGTATTTTCCGTGCATATTGGTTAAACCTTTTATTGTTTTGCTTTTACAGCCCCGCGTTCAGCCGTGTCTTGCGAAAATTGCTGCCCAGCCACTTTTATCGCTGGGAGTATAGGATCTCCTTCCAGCGATGGTCTACCACGCAGACCGATGAGTGCGAAGGTAAGATGTGATTAAAGTGCCTTGAAAAAACACAGTGTAGCAGTCACACATCAGCTGAATAATGAGAGGTCGAGTGCAAGCTAAGTTTGTTTACAAGGATAGAGTTGAAATATGTGAACTGTTACTTCTTTTATTTGTGTTGTAGGAAAGGACCGGTTAGAAAATAAAATCAAGCATATGTAATTCGTTGAGATATCTCAAGCCTACTACTACTACCGTATTTGCTCTCGCAATAGGTGCGTTTTTCTTCCAGAAAATTTTTTTCCTAGTTCTGGGTGTGGCAATTAGCTGTGGGAAAATTTCTGGCAATTTTATTTCCAACTATAACAAAGATTACTGGAAGGTCACTGATAAAGTATACAGTAAAAGCTCGTTAACTCGGATCTCACGGGACCGGAGAAAATGTCCGAGTTAACCGAATTCCGCATTATCGAACGGACCATGAAAACAAAAGGAAAACGTACACGGCACAGACATACCTTTATTTCTTAAAGAAGCACGTTATTTTTGCCTGCCTCACTGTCGGAATTTCCGACAGAACGATCTTATTTAATCCCATTAGGTGGTGGTGCCCATGTTCACTGTCGCGAGAACAATTGCAGAACCCCTTGAGGACAGCGAGGGCTTCAGTGGCCTCCTGCACGGTGCGGCGACGTCGCGTCAGCTCATCACGTCTTTCAATATCATAACCTTTCTTTTCTTTCAAGATCAATTGCTGGCTGCTGTGGCCGCTTAACTCCTGTGACGGTCGCCATGAAGCGCGACGGCGGCGACAACGCGCACAAACACAGCCGTAACACGCGAAGTCACAACACAAAGAACCAAGACACGAAGTAGTCCATCAGTAGGCATAGCATGGCCGTAGCGAGCAGCTGTTGGTAGACGCTGGATGCGCCGGTGGCCCAAGCGCTTCCGCCGGGTGTTGACTAGTGCCAGCTAGCCACTTCTCCCTCATTCACTATCGTCATCCTCATATTCTGCTGCAGTTCACTCGGTTTCGGTTTCTCCAGAACTCCGGTTCTGCTGTCGGCTACGGCAGGCAGTGCTTGTGCCTCCAAGCCGTCGAGATCGCGCGACTCCGGAGTCCCGATAGCCCTCTCCGGAGTTGATTGAGATAACCGGTTCGCCGCTAAATCCCTCCGGATTAATGAGCATTTGACCTCATTGAAATATACACAGTTTTGCCGGGACTGTGCCGCGAGTCTGAGTTAACGGAATTTTCGAGTTAATGAGGTCTAGATAAACGAGCTTTTACTGTAATTCGAAGTCACTGGGACGGTGAGAAATCTTCAAATAAGTGGGTTTTCGAATTGATAGAACTTACAAAAAGTGGATGCAAAGAGCCTAAAATTATTTAACGTAATCAGGGATGGTCGTTTGCTGTGCCAGCTAGTTTGCAGCTCCAAGGGCTATTTGTTTTCCAGCTATACCTGGCCACAATTTTGCCAGAAATAAGGGGGAATGCCAGGCCTCACTGCTGCCACACACACACACACACACAAAAAGTGATCGGAAATGCGCACCTGTAAAAAACAAGACATTTTCACTGCAACATTATAGCGATACGCGGGTAACATGTCGCCTGCTCTTCGCTGCATCAGCACGCCATAATGCGAGGATTTGCCAATTATTTCTGGTAAAATAAAAAAATTCACTAATGGACAGTTTGACGAAATTCGATGTGTGTTTTGGCTGAAAAACGCCATCATTGAAGCTTTTAAACAGAGTATTCGAAGTAGGTGTTGCAGGTAAGAACACCACCAGCACTGCAAGTACACAAATTGCTGGAGCAACTGGCACTTCTGCATACATCGCCAATTCCGCCGCACTATCCTTTATTAATTTCTTCAAATTCCCAGAAAGAATGAATAAATCACGACATGCTGACGTTGCAAGATGCATGTGGCATTCTGGATGCGAGCCACTTCTGTGTGGCCGTGTAGCATGTCTTATTTTATGCAGGCGCACATTTCAGCTAGTCGGGAGACCGTTTTTTTAATATAATTTTATTTTTTATGCTGAAAGCAACAAGGCTGGGGTGCTTCAACTTCCACTTATTAGTATTGCTCCGTTTCATTGCCTTGTGACTATTTAGGACTGTTGTTTCCAAGGATTTGCAGTGAAATCAGAAATGGGAATTGGCATACTGCACCCAAGGTTTTCGAATAATCGGACTCGTGCTGACTGCCGCTTCAGATAATTTGTTAAAACTTGCATTCCAAAATACAGGACTATGTAAATACTTCAAATTAAGCACTATTTCAAAATAATCACATTTGAATTAACGAGGTTGTGGTGTACATCGCCGAGGAGTTGCAGATATCTGCACTACAGCCAAAACAATCTTTTTCTTAGGCTACACTAGTGTAAAATATGTTGAACATGCAGTCTTGCGTTTTCGAGAATCAAGGCGTGCGACACGGTGTGCTTAATCATTCGAATTTCCAAAAATTAACAGCGAAAGACACGTATTGCCAGCAAAATACAAACTGAACAGAGAAAAAAAAAAGAAGCTGCGGAATTTCGCAGATTGTTTCAGGCCTTCTAAATTATGCACATTATCACAACCGAAATTTCGTGTGTGAACGGGGGCCGATAGTTACTTCACGAGCTCGCACCACATATCCAAGATGAATGTTACAAGTCCCATCCATGCCCCCTTTCCTTCAAGTAGAGCTAAAGAGTTAAGGGGATTCCGCACAAAATCGTAACTTTGATCGCATCGCGACTGCTACTGAAAGGCAACCAACATTGATTAGACCTAGCCTACAGTTCAGCATGTTGTCGCAAGAAGTTTGTGCAAGGTGACATGTAGATTGGGTGTCGAAATGATTGCACTCGAGCACAGATCTAAGAGCAGCATGCATGATGCGATGCTCAAGTTCGCAGCCGGTAGATCAACGGCAACAAAAGTCCGTGGAGTGGCAGCAAAGGCGAAAGCTCGTGTCGTAAAGCTGAAAAGCTGTTAAATTTGCGGATGAGGTAGCTTATGCAATAAAGACTACGCTTTTTCCGGATAGGGGAACTTGAAGCGCGCGCACTTGAGGATGTGATGGCATGTTCCATGCGGAGTGCGTCTGGCCGAAGCCACGCCGGTGCAGGTGCAAAGGTTGCTCCTATGCACATGCGACCACCCTTATTCCTCACTTGGCGAGTCCGAGCAGCACTGCCGTGGTCTTTTTTTATTTAATTTTTTTGCTCACTCTAGTTAACGTGATAAAGCATTGAATTGCAACAGTGAAAATAAAGTACAGAACTACCATAATCACGGCCAAGTTTGGGGTGTGCCTAATATGCGTGGAAATAAAAGAAATCTGATTTCTTGGGATCACACTGGTGGTTTGCTTATTATGCGCGTAAATATGGTATTTACCTGACTGTGCCCATCTAAAACCAAGTAAAAATTCTGAAAGTCAGAATGTCTGTTTTCTTTGAAATGTGAGATGTTGATTGCTGGTGCACAATTTGCTATATCCAGTTTAGTGTTGTCGGAATCCACAACATCATGCATGACTGAGGGACAAGTTTTATTTGCCGACTTATCAAGCCCCCTGACACACTGGAAGAGTTGCTTAAGTTGTTTTTTTATGCTGTTGCGGGAGCATTAACTGTTAAACTAACATCCCCTTCAATGCAACTCTTGGATACCGTGTCTCATTCCTAAATTAATCTGTTTGTATGATGTTTGTCTTGCGGGGAGCATCTTTACCACTGGAGGAAACGCCATATGAAAGTTAATGTATGCCTTTAGTGAAATCTTTTTTGACATCGTGGCCTGACACCCCGAAGACATCTTTTTCGTGATTTTAAGTTTTTCTGTTGCAGAAAAGCTTGGTATATCTTCTCTTTGTTCTGTTGCTACCTGTTCTGTTTAAGTTGTTTTGCCAATGAGCAGTTGACTACTGCAGGGTTGTGGCACTGCTGTGCTCCACGCTCAAAACTTTTGATGAACGTGTCATTCGCCTATAGTCGTGCAAGCTGCAGTTAGCTCTCTTCAGTGCTTTTGCTTTGGCAACTTAACAGTAGGTTTACTGGAAAATAAAAGTTCATTCCTATTTGCTAATGTGTCATTCTTCCCGTTACACAGAAATTGGGATCTTCTTCACAATTTGCCACTGTGCTCGAATTTCGCCCTTAAAACCAGTAACAAAACTATTGTTCTGCAAGTTAAAACCAGCCATCCCAAACGCATAGAAGTGCTTGACATCACTGAAATGAGCAAACATATTGGGCGATCTGTCATTGCGTTATCCGTCGGTAAGTCACTGACTATGGGTGGAGCTTATTTGGAATTCTTTTTTGGTTGTTGCCCACTGTAGCCATGGCAGCTAGACTTCGCCATAGTCTGCGAATTATGCTGATGCAGTTGTCAAATGTGTCATCAGTATACTTTCCTTTTGCCTTGGCGACCGTTTTTAACGCACTTGCTTTGTTTTGGCATTGTGCAGAGTACTTTGATTACCGCTTCAGCTATGATGATGTAGCCTGCTGGATCTTCTGCTGTCTCTTCGGAGTCTGGTATCTTTGGAAAAAGGTAAGAACTTGGCACTGTTGAGAAAGGGGTAGTTTAAATGGTATGTTGCACACAGTTAAAAAAGATGTCAGTGAAGAAAATGTTTATCCACACGTCATTGTTGGTACGCTGAGTTCTGTCAGTTTGGCCACATTGTAGGCATGGAATGGGCTTTATCGCAGCACAGATGTCGGCTGTAGACAGAAAACTATCATGAGTGCCAACACGTACTCTCCTTGTCCTTCTCACCTTTATTAAGAACATCTGCACTGATTTGTACGGTGTGGGATGCAATTAATAAAATGAGAATAAGTGCAGAGAGAGAAAGAAAAATTGCATCATCTCCCACTAAAGCGAACCATGTCGAAATGCAAAGCAGCGCGTGGGGTTCACTTGTATTTCCATTGTTGTTGCATTTTTGTTTCCTTGTATGTTTCATGTGTGGAGTTGTGTATATGTTGTGTACCGCTGATGTTACCCCCCCCCCCCCCCCCCCCCTTCATTGTGTGTATTATCGTGTGTGTATTCATCGCACCACAAAGTGAACACCGAGCACTGCTTCCGCTGTTTGCCGTTTACGTTCAGAGTCCCAAGCCCTGTGCTGCTCAGCGGTACTGCTTACGCTAATGCTTTCACAGCTTATGTTACTGATGCCGTTGCCAAAGAGAGTGCAGCAGGAATGAGTGCACGGTGCATCATATGCCAGAGCACGGCTGTGGCAGAAAGAGAAAAACGGGAGAAGAGCAGCATAGCGGAGGCAACGCTAATGCCCCCTGAGCCTGAAGAGGCGGAGAGAGTTGGCGCACGCGCAGTGGGAGAGCAGACGCGTGAGGGAACGATGAACACATCCCCGGGCAAAAGCTGTTTTGCATCTCAGAAAGTTGGTGGCCAGGCGGTATTCGAGTCCGGATACCTGTGCACTAAACACGAGCTTCGTAACGACTCTGCTATCCAGGCACGCTTTTCCGGCATAGCGTAAGCTTGTATAGTATTGCATGGCAATGAACAGGAGAAGGAAAGTGAGGGAAAAGAGTGGAGCTACGGGAAGAGCAGGAGGAGGGAGTGTAAAACATGGCATAGAAAGGAAAAGAGATTATCCGGGAAATAAATGGAAAGCAAAAAATACAGGGACAAAGAAAAGTGAGGAAGAAAAGGAAATGCATAAACTGAAAGGAAGAAATAGTAATAGACACTATTACTATTTACTCTGGTACCCTTCCCGTCAGGAGACACCTCGTAAACAGGGTGGCTAGTTTTTCTAACACAATCTGTCCTCCATCTTTTAGCAGATCTGATGTTACCTGATCCTCACCAGCAGCTTTGCCTCTTTGCATGCTCTCCAAAGCTTTTCTGACTTCTTCTATCATTACTGGTGGGGTGTCATCTGGGTTACTGCTAGTTCTTATAGTATTAAGGTCGTGGTTGTCTCGGCTACTGTACAGATCTCTGTAAAACTCCTCCGCTATTTTATCTATCCTATCCATATTGGTAGTTATTTTGCCTTCTTTGTCCCTTAGTGCATACATCTGACTTTTGCCTATCCCAAGTTTCCTCTTCACTGCTTTGACGCTTCCTCCGTTTTTCAGAGCGTGTTCAATTCTCTCCATGTTATACCTTCTTACATCGCATACTTTACGCCTATTAATCAACTTTGAAAGCTCTGCCAGTTCTATTTTGTCTGTTGTACTTGACACTTTCATGCTTTGACGCTTCTTAATTAGGTTCTTCGTTTCCTGGGAAAGCTTGCCAGTGTCCTGTCTAACTACCCTGCCTCCAACTTCCATTGCACACTCCGTAATGATACTCATCAAATTATCATTCATTGTATCTACGCTAAGGTTGGTTTCCTCACTAAGAGCCGAGTACCTGCTCTGCAGCGACACTCTGAATTCCTGTACTTTCCCTCTCAGTGATAGCTCATTGATTGGCTTCTTGCGTATCAGTTTCTGTCGTTCCTTCTTCAAGTCTAGGCGAATTCGAGACCGTACCATTCTATGGTCACTGCATCGTACCTTGCCAACCACTTCCACATCCTGCACGATTCCTGGGTGTGCAGTCATTATAAAGTCTATTTCGTTCTTATTTTCGCCTATAGGGCTCCTCCATGACCCCTTGCGGTTTTCTCGTTTTCGGTAGAAAGTATTCAAAATCCGCAAATTATTGCGTACTGCGAATTCTACTAGTAGCTCTCCTCTGGCGTTTCTAGTGCCGATGCCTATAAAGTCGCCCATCACTATAGTATACTGTGTTTTTACCTTACTCATTGCCGATTCCACGTCTTCATAGAAGCTTTCGACTGAACTGTCATCATGGCTGGATGTAGGCGCGTAAGCCTGTACTACCTTCATCTTGTATCTTTTATTCAGTTTAATTACAATACCTACCACTCTTTCATTAATGCTATAGTATTCCTCTATGTTGCCAGCTATGTTTCTGTGAATTAGGAGCCCCACTCCCAGTTCTCTTCTGTCTGCCAAGCCCCGATAGCAAAGGACGTGCCCATTCTGTAGCACAGTATAGGCCTCACCTGTCCTCCTAACCTCAATGAGCCCTATTATATCCCATTTAACACCCTCTAGCTCCTCGAATAGTACATCTAGACGTCCCTCACTAGATAAGGTTCTAGCGTTAAACGTTGCCAAGTTCAGGTTCCAAAGGCGGCCTGTAGTCCAGAGATTCTTGGCACCCTCTGCTGCGTTGCATATCTGACCGCCGCCATGGTCAGTTGCTTCGCAGCTGCTGGGAACTGAGGGCCGTGAGTTATTTGACGTATGCATGTGGGAGGTAGTGGCCAGATACTGCAACAGGGTGGCCAATCCTTCTCTGGTGAGGGAGTGCGTTCCCGGCGGTGGTTACCGGTGAGGCCGCACCTCAGGCCTCTTAGAGTTCTTCAACATGCACCTAAATGTAAGTATATAGGTCAGAAACATGTTTGCCCCCATCAAAAATGTGGCTATGGCGGCCTTGATTCAATCCCGCAACTTTTTGGTCAGTCATCTAACAACATAACCAGCAGACAAATGTGGCCGGTTAGACAGCTTGCGAATGTTTTTCATTTATAATCGGGCTTCTGTTGCTTAGGCATTGAAATGTGCTGCCATTTTGTTCGCTATGCATGCTTTGCTCAGAGGCATTTCCCACGTTCCCTTTCTTAACTTCGCAGCACTGGGTGGCCAACAACCTGTTTGGGCTTGCCTTTGCTGTTAATGGCGTCGAGCTGCTGCACATAAACACGGTGGCAACGGGTTGCATCCTGCTCGGTGGCCTCTTCGTCTACGACATCTTCTGGGTGAGCGAGAACTGGGCTGGGAGACCGGGACTGGCCTTGCCTTCGTGAAGGTTGGCGTCCCCCTCCTGTGTTTGGGCCTGTTTCTTGTTTGGCTGTCGTGTGCTCTTGCTGAGAGTCTTTCATTTCGATGCACAGGTCTTTGGCACGGACGTCATGGTGACCGTTGCCAAGTCTTTCGAAGCACCCATAAAATGTGAGTTCCCGTGGTTTCGGTATTGGAGGGGCAGTCGACTAATGATGAGAATGTGCGGTGAACAGCCCCATAGCCAGGAACCTTTACCCTGAAGGGGTGGGTGTGGCGGGTCACTTGTAGAAGACCTTTGGTGTTTGAGGGAAACATCTGTTTTTCAGTAGTTTTTACAACCCACCCACATTAGTGCCTATACCCCCTTTCCACTTGGTGCCTGGTCGTAGAAATATGGTGCGGATGCAGAAGATGTACATAGATTTAGGAAAATGTCAAGGCATCCCATAGTGATGGAATACGCTTTCAAAAATCTGTTTCCATGTCAGTAATAGTTATAGAAGATTTGAATGCCATAGGACTGGAGAAGGGATGGTCAACCAGAGAAACATTGCCTCTGACCTAGTACTAGCCTGCATTGGGCAAAAGGAGAAACATAATCAGAAGTAGAGGGAGTGTAAATGGACAATGGCAGTATACAATGGACCATGTACAGCCCCATAGAAGGAAACACTGTGTTAAATCTTGGAGATGAAGTTGAATAAGGATGAGAGCTGGGCTAGTTGGTAACAAATCATTATACCGTATTGTTAAGTAGCCCACTTTAGATGGGGACAAAAGGGACAAGATAGACACGACACACAGTATCGTGTCCATCCTATCTCCTTTGTCCCTGTCAAGAGTGTGCTACTTTGCCATACGGTATAATGATTAAACTTGGAGGTGTGTTGACAGTTTTGTGCAATTTTTCAAGGGAACTGCACCATATTCCTACGAATCTGGTCACTAAACGTGATGTCGGCTCTGGCATAAGTGTGCAGCCAACATTATGCTGGTGTACGACAGGAACTTAAGGTGGTGGCAGTGAAAGAACGTATGTGCATTGCCGAGCCGTAAATTGGCTCATTTCGTGAGCACCGTACTTGTACGATATATGTACAGGGGGTGTCAAAAGTTTCCGGGCCATGCTGCCATAGTAACATATGGGATAGTTGCCTGGGAACTTTTGACGTGCCCCCCCCCCCCCCCCCCTGTACACAAGTTGTGCAGAGTTAACGCAATTATGCCACAATAAACGGGTATCTCTTACTGAATAGTTACTGGCTAAAAACAGGGTGCATTGCTAACGATTAGTTATTAGCAAAAAGCATGGCACATTGCTAATATCATGCTTAATATGTTGTGCCAGTTCATGTGATGCCATGGATTTTAGATTATTTTATCATGTCGCCACTGCTGCTGAAGTGACTTGGGTCCATTGGAGAATGTCTTTTGCAAATGCTAATGGGGCAGTGTTTTAAGTAAAACCGCTGGTAGATAGGGCAGTGAAACCTTGAGGGGATGTAACGTATGTGGACATGCTACATTGACATGTTACAGTGGTAATACTATGATGGAAGGTGGGTTTGCCCAAGAGTAATCGGGGTTATTGCGCCTTCACTTTCAGTGGTTTTCCCCCAAGATTTCCTTGAGAGCGGCTTTGCGGGCAAGCACTTTGCCATGCTCGGCCTGGGAGACATCGTCATTCCTGGCATCTTCATCGCCCTCCTGCTGCGTTTCGACTCCAGGTACGATTGAAGTAAAGTGCGCATGTTTCTGAGTTTTTAAGCTGCGTTCTAATGGGGCTTGAAACAAACAACGGCATGTCTTGGATTAGTCTGTTCTTTTACAACATTTCTGATAGCCCCAGTATTAATATGGCACATATTAATTTAGTCAGCAATGTTATGGGTGAGAATGCTCTGTGCTTAACAAGTCTACATGTGTACCAAACCATCTTTAAACAAGGCATTGAGTTCTGTAAAATTTTGAAATCAATGGAAAGTTTGTGTAATATAAATTACACGCTTGAAGTTGAAGTTTGTAATGGAAACTCGTATATTTTACGTGCTGTGGTATCTTAGCGGACGTAGCTAGATGGCTGTGTTTTGATGGGGGCAAAATGCCGAAATGACCATGAATCGAAATTTTGGTACACATTTACGAGTAACCTTGTGGTCATGATTAATCAAACATCTCCCTTTATAGTGTACCTCAAAGCTATATCCTTGCTCTGGCATGGGAAAACCTAGAATTTTTTTTAATGACCAGTTAACAGCCCCGTTGTCCAAAACGTGTGACGAAGCGATAACTGCAATTTGGTACGTGAACATGCTGCTGCAAGAATATTACGAACAAGTGCTGTAATAAAGAAGTTATGAAGTATAGAACAACTTGTTTCGGCTGATTTTTGGTTTGTCACCTGGCCTTACCTCCTTCTCGATGACCAAGAAGGTAGGTATAGCCAATTGCTGCGACTACGCCCACTTCAGCAACATGCTGCGACGTCAGCAATTACGTTATCCTGGGGTAAAATTGCGTCCCTTCACGTACGAGGAGGATCAGACAGGTACTGGAGAGGGGTGCGAGCATTGTTTTTCAGAATGGAGCGTCTGAGCAGCACGGACCTCCCTGACATTCATATGTAATGTTATCGCCGCAGCTGTCTTGCATGCATTGGTGACCTTATTTAGGAGATTGGCCGATAGAGCAAGCTTCCATTAGTACTGAACACTGTGGGAATTGACTGCCACAACCCCTCTTTCTTTTGCAGCCTAAACAGGCAAAGGAATCTCTACTTCGTGAGCAGCTTTGTTGCCTACGTGCTCGGTCTGGCGCTAACCATCTTCATCATGGTCTATTTCAACCATGCACAGGTGAGGACCACAATGACTGAAGACATACCCTATCTACTCCATTCCAATGCATATCCCCCCCCCCCCCTTCCCACCGCGCACCTGGCTTACAACTATATGGGGCCGTTAAAGGGGAGACACTTGTGTGGAATTTTTTTTTTTTTTAATTTTCAGTACTTACAGTTCAAATTTTTATATGATACACATTTTTCACAGCTGAAAGCAATAAGGTAATTAGTTTTCGGCTTCCGCTTCCAGATTTTAAAATATTGACTGTTTCATAAACTTACATTCTGCCCACTGTTTAGACAGCTTCCTCATAAAAGATTGCTGCAAATTAGATATGACAGTGGTCTGTAAATGAGAGGGAGTGCAAGGAAACCATTTTGTTTTTAGCTTCATTGGTTCAAGACTTATGGCCTTATAGGGGCCGTAAAACGTTTTCCGAAAATTTTCAGCTTCTTGTGTATTTGGAATCCTTGCCGTCCATTTAATTCTATAACTTGACTCGTTTGATCATCTGAGCTCTTCTAAATAAGTAAAAAATGCAATTTCCTGTCAACTGTGCAGCTGACGTCACTTTAAGACAGCCAAGGTAAAGTCTGTCGTTGACAAAACATGGCGATGCAGCGATTTTATTTAGCCTTAGTTGACCATGGTTCGTAGCATCATACTGTTTCGATAACGGCACTGTCACCAGAACAATACCGTAATGTCGCGGAAACACAGTGTAGGAACAGCCGATCTTGCCGAACTACAGCGTTGTCTGCTACAGTGTAATTGGCTGTTGAGCTTTGAGCAGTACGCCGACGCACCCATGCGAGTGCAAAATTGGCCATTGTCAAAGCAAGACAGCAGCCGCGGTGGCAAAGAAGCCTGCGCCCTGGAAGCACTTGTATTGAGATCGCGTGGCAGAACCTTTGCTTGCGGAAGCCCCTATCATGAGCCTCCATTTTGTGTGTCCATACCATCGGGGCCATAGTGACTGATAGCTCGAAGCCACACTGCTCTATAATGTGGCTCACTGGGCAGCATGTGAAAGAGAACTTTGTTGGCACTTTGATAAGTTGTGTGGCACTGTCTGCGCACAACTTATCAACTTGGTGTGCGGCACCAAGAACACGCAGTAGAACACAACCTGACACAACAAGAAAAAACTGAAACGCTGCACTGGCTGCACTGATTGAGCCAAGCAACTGGGGGGAAGGCAAGGATACACAGGTGACATAGCCTGGATGTACTTGAACGCAGAACCAAGTAGATCTCATACTGTAATTGCACAGCATACAACTCTGATCGTAAAAACTGCTGTGTTATATTTTTATTTTCTCTGTTCCTCTAAAGCTATCACTTTATAGCAAAATAAGGCTAACGCTCTGTTTGTAAGTTCTTTTACATGGACGTTTTATTGACGTCTCGTCTTAGTACCTATAGCGGCCCACCGCATGGTAGCAAGTAAGCCCCAAGAAACTCCGATTTTAAACGTGTGTCATTAATTACAAACTGGATATTGCACCAACATATTTTAGAATCGGTATGTCTAATCCTTATTGAAATAAGGAAAACTGCAACTGGAAAGTTTCATTTTTGTTTGTGACCCCTTTAACAAAAAGGCTTATCAGAAACTGTTGCTTAATTTTATTGTTATTTAAATCACTGTTGCTAATAAAATTATCATAATTTTTCGGTCTTCTCGCACTCATCAATGTACAAACTTTCAAATGCTGCAAAAATGATCAGAATCGAACCACTACATCAAAAGAAACTGTACGCGATAGCTGGGATGTGATGAAAAATGTTGTTTTGAGAAAACAAGAAAATAAGTTTAGGGGACACGGTGAGCATGTGTATTCAACAGTAAAAGTCTAAATCGGTGCAATAATGATGTAGAAGCAACCAGGAGTGTAGTCATTGCTCTTGCGCTTTTTCATTGCACGCCAGACGTTTTCAGGGTTTCCATAGTTCAGGTCGGCAAGCGGCGTTCTGACGGTGCTCACACAGTCGTCAATAGCGTGCGCGGCAGCCTTTTGCGAGGCAGGATTCATTTTCAGTTTCATGTAATCTTTATATGTCTTTGTGTACCTGCATCTCCGTGAAATATTCAAGGTGAAGAAAAATGTAATTCAATGCAGTTTGTTCGTTGGCTGTGCCAGGTGAACTACGAGTACGTTGATCTCAAACGGGCCGTCGGCCGCATCTTTCCTGCTCTTGGAGAGCTCCGTACACTATTTAGTTTCCTGCACTCACTGACCACACGTTAGCACAAGTTTCGTGGCAATGCCATATTCCCGATCTTTCTTGTAAATGCTGCCAGGCCTGCCTCACACACTGCACTTCATACACTGAAGCAGTTCATTCATCATCGCTTAGTTTATGACTGCGAAAGGCGTTCCAGTCGTCGCAGTCGCTTCCGAGTCTCGAAAAACAGAGCGCTCGCGTCGTGTGGTTGACGTCGACGAAAGGTCTCTTTGAATGTCACTCGCACGACACTCAGGGGCCACTTTTTCAGTGTCTGAAACCGGGGGCACGTCAATGCGCACACCTTACGTGTGATCGATGGGCCTGGCTATCGTATCCGTAATCGCAGAAGCCGCGTTTGGGATGACATTATTCCACACCATCGATTCTCAGCAATCATGTGACGGCGATGGGGAACGAGGTCTTGCAGACGTGCAATGAATGCATGTGCTCCCGCTGCCGTGGTGATAAACTGGTGTGGCGTGCTCCAAGAATCATCATCATCATCATCAGCCTGACTATGTCCACTGCAGGACAAAGGCCTCTCCCATGTTCCGCCACTTAACCCGGTCCTGTGCTTGCTGCTGCCAATGTGTACCCGCAAACTTCTTAATCTAATCTGCCCACCTAACTTTCTGTCTCCCCCTAACCCGCTTCCCTTCTCTGGGGATCCAGTTAGTTACCCTTAATGACCAGCGGTTATCCTGCCTACGCGCTACATGCCCGGCCCATGTCCATTTTCTCTTCTTTATTTCAACTATGATATCGTTAACCCCCGTTTGTCCCCTAATCCACTCTGCTCTCTTCTTGTCTCTTAAGGTTACACGTACCATTTTTCTTTCCATTGCTCGCTGCATCGTCCTCAATTTAAGCTGAACCCTCTTTGTAAGTCTCCAGGTTTCTACTCCGTAGCTAAGTACCGGCAAGATACAGCTGTTATATACCTTCCTCTTGAGGGATAGTGGCAATCTACCTGTCATAATTTGAGAGTGCTTGCCAAATGTGCTCCACCCCATTCTTATTCTTCTAGTTACTTCAATCTCGTGGTTCGGCTCCGCGGTTATTACCTGCCCTAAGTAGACATAGTCTTTTACAACTTGAAGTGCACTATTACTTATCTCGAAGCGGTGCTCTTTTCCGAGGTTGTTGTACATTACTTTCGTTTTCTGCAGATTAATTTTAAGACCCACCTTTCTGCTCTCCTTGTCGAACTCCGTAATCATGAGTTGCAATTCGTCCCCTGAGTTACTTAGCAATGCAATGTCATCGGCGAAGCGCAAGTTACTAAGGTATTCTCCATTAACTCTTATCCCTAACTGTTCCCATTCTAGGCTTCTGAAAACCTCCTGTAAGCACGCGGTAAATAGCATTGGGGAGATTGTGTCCCCCTGGCTTACACCCTTCTTTATTGGTATTCTGTTGCTTTCTTTATGAAGCACTATGGTAGCAGTTGAACCCCTGTAGATTTCTTCCAGAATGTTTATATATACTTCATCTACGCCCTGATTCCGCAGTGTCTGCATGACAGCTGATATTTCTACTGAATCAAACGCCTTCTCGTAATCTATGAAGGCTATGTATAGTGGTTGGTTATACTCTATTACCTGATTGATAGTATGAATGTGGTCAATTGTTGAGTAGCCTGTTCAAAATCCTGCTTGTTCCTTTGGTTGATTGAATTCTAATGTTTTCTTTACTCTGTTAGCAATTACCTTTGTAAATAGCTTGTACACTACAGAGAGCAAGCTGATCGGCCTGTAATTCTTCAAGTCCTTGTCATCTCCTTTCTTATGTATTAAGAGTATGTTAGCGTTTTTCCAAGACTCTGGTACCCTTCCCGTCAGGAGACACCTCGTAAACAGGGTGGCTAGTTTTTTTAACACAATCTGTCCTCCATCTTTCAGCAGGTCTGATGTTACCTGATCCTCACCAGCAGCTTTGCCTCTTTGCATGCTCTCCAAAGCTTTTCTGACTTCTATCATTACTGGTGGGGTGTCATCTGGGTTACTGCTAGTTCTTATAGTAATAAGGTCGTGGTTGTCTCGGCTACTGTACAGATCTCTGTAAAACTCCTCCGCTATTTTAACTACCCTATCCATATTGGTAGTTATTTTGCCTTCTTTGTCCCTTAGTGTATACATCCGACTTTTGCCTATCCCAAGTTTCCTCTTCACTGCTTTGACGCTTTCTCCGTTTTTCAGAGCGCGCTCAATTCTCTCCATGTTATACCTTCTTACATCACATACCTTACGCCTATTAATCAACTTCGGAAGCTCTGCCAGTTCTATTTTGTCGGTTGTACTTGAGACTTTCATAATTTGACGCTTCTTAATTAGGTTCTTCGTTTGCTGGGAAAGCTTGCCAGTGTCCTGTCTAACTAGCCTACCTCCAACTTCCACTGCACACTCCGTAATGTTACTCGTCAGATTATCATTCATTGTATCTATGCTAAGGTTGGTTTCCTCACTAAGAGCCGAGTACCTGTTCTGAAACGAGACTCTGAATTCCTCTACTTTCCCTCTCAGTGCTAGCTCATTGACTGGCTTCTTGCGTATCAGTTTCTGTCGTTTCTTCTTCAAGTCTAGGCGAATTCGAGACCGTACCATTCTATGGTCACTGCATCGTACCTTGCCAACCACTTCCACATCCTGCACGATTCCTGGGTGTGCAGTCATTATAAACTCTATTTCGTTCTTATTTTCGCCATTAGGGCTCCTCCATGTCCACTTGCGGTTTTCTCGTTTTTGGTAGAAGGTATTCAAAATCCGCAAATTATTGCGTTCTGCGAATTCTACTAGTAGCTCTCCTCTGGCGTTTCTAGTGCCGATGCCATAATCTCCTACTGCCTGGTCTCCAGCCTGCTTTTTCCCTACCTTTGCATTAAAGTCGCCCATCACTATAATATACTGTGTTTTTACTTTACTCATTGCCGATTCCACGTCTTCATAGAAGCTTTCAACTGAAGCGTCATCATGGCTGGATGTAGGTGCATAAGCCTGTACCACCTTCATCTTGTATCTCTTATTCAGTTTAATTACGATACCTCCCACCCTTTCATTAATGCTATAGTATTCCTTTATGTTGCCAGCTATGTTTCTGTGAATTAAGAATCCCACTCCCAGTTCTCTTCTGTCAGCCAAGCCCCGATAGCAAAGGACATGCCCATTCTGTAGCACCGTATAAGCCTCATCTGTCCTCCTAACCTCACTGAGCCCTATTATGTCCCATTTAACACCCTCCAGCTCCTCGAACAGTACAGCTAGACTTCCCTCACTAGATAAGATTCCCTCACTAGATAATTGCATTCAGATGGCGTAGTGGTTAGAGCATCCGCCTCGCATGCAAGAGGTCCGTGGTTCAAATCCCGGTGCCGCGCAGTTCCCAACCGGATTAAAAAAAAAAAACGGCGTGTTGATGGAACTGCATTAAGAGGCCTGGGGTGCGGCCTCACCGGTAACCACCGCCGGGAACGCACTCCCTCACCAGAGAAGGATTGGCCACCCTGGTGCAGTATCTGGCCACTACCTCCCACATGCATACGTCAAATAACTCACGGCCCTCAGTCCCCAGCAGCTGCGAAGCAACTGACCACGGCGGCGGTCAGATCTGCAACGCAGCAGAGGGTGCTAAGAATCTCTGGATCCAGACAGGCCGCCATTGGAACCTGAACTTGGCAACGTTTAACGCTAGAACCTTATCTAGTGAGGGAAGTCTAGCTCCAAGAATAGTATGAGACAAATAACAGCAACAAAAACTACAGTGAATTTATGGTGTGTTCCACTTGCAAGGACGCGTTAACATCAGGCAAGGTGCCCATTATGAACGAAACTTTAAGTCGTCCCATTCACTGCTTTCCAAGCTACTCAGGGTTCCCTTTAGCGAAAGATGGTGTATTTTTTGTATTCTGTCGCAGCACTTCAAGTTCAGACATGCGTGTCGTTGCCTTGCTGATAGACTGAAACATGACTTTATCATTGCTTTTGCATGCTCACCGCAGCCTCGGATGCTGCTAATAACAGCCAGCGAGGTTGCATAGCGTTTTGCATTTTTAGTTGCCAAATATTATAAAAAAAAGCGAAAAGTTAACACTATTCCTGTCTATGAAAGCGACTGCGGGTGAAATTCATGATGGTTGTCGTATAAAATGTCCACTCAAAGAATGTCAAAGTGCAGTGCTCGTGCAATGAAGTGCGGCTTCAGAACTCCACGTTTCATGACTGCTGTGCACAGTTCCTTTGGATAACCACGTCATGTCACAATGAATCTAGCAACTGGAGGGGTTGGTAGCTCTAATGCAAGTGTACGAGCCAATACAGTCGAGCCCGCTTATAACAAACCTGAGCGTGATGCGGCATCCGTTCACTGTATCCCGAAGTTCGTAGTAAATGAAACACAGCTTTTAAAAAAAGTTGCGAGTGAACACACAAACTTTTCTTGCCCAAAAAGTCCGTGATGCACATGTTTGAAGAGCAAAAGCGATAAGGGCGATATCGAGTTCATTTCAAACGGCAGGGTGCTCGTTTGCAGAGGCCCTTGGCATAAGCTGCATGAGGCACTGGCTACAAAGTTTCGTCATTCTCGCAATCCTATTCCTCCAAATCACTCTCGCCACGTACATCATTCACATTGCCTCAATCCGTGCACGGTTCCGCAGGGTCGGCATCATCATCGGCCGTAATTAAACCATCACAACGGATGTCCCTCCCGCTCTCCCAGGTCGGAGTCGACGACGCGCTGCCACAAATCACCGCTGCAGTGGTCCTGTTCGAAAGCTTCAGGCTCGGCATCAAGCCTGACGTCGACAAAGTCAGCCTTGCGGAAACAGTTTTTCGCGCATGTAGCCATCACTGCCACCCAGGAAATATTCACTTCTCCACAGCTGAATACCGAGATGCCCGAAGCGGCAAGTTGGCTGCAAGGTGGTCAACAGCTATGAGCAAGCGCTCTGCAACGCTGCATCTAACGTGCGGATTACGCTCAAGCCAAGTGGTCACACTTTCGACGTTTTTTTTGAGCGGCAGGGAAAAGCGTGCTAGTCCTCCCGTTGGCCACCATGACCCCACACATACACACCAAGAGCGAACAAGACGCGCTCACGCGGCACACATGCTAGAACGTGTAGAATAGCTCTGGGCCCATTTCCAGTCAGAAAACGAAACTAATTCGAGCCAGCGTGGTGGGCGTCGCGGAGCAGTGGAGAAGGGCGAAGGCATTTCCTTCCTCCGCGGGCGAAGGGGTTGTGATCTAGAGAAGAGAGCAGATTTATGAGAGGGGGGCAAGGAGTTGTGATAAAGGGAGGAGACGATGCGGCGGGAGGGCGACCTTGAAAACCAAAACACACGGGAAGGAGGCAGGTTGGGTAGCTTGCTTTGAAAGGTCCGCGAAACACGCCCGTAAAAAAACTTGGAAAGAGTGCCTACGTGTGGAAGGCAAAGCACGGCCGCCTGAATAGGTGCGCGCGGCGGTGTTAGAAGAATCGGCGGCCGCAGTCAAACAATCGTTTTGTTGTGCCGGCGGGTTTGCGTGGCCTCACGAACTTCCATATTTTGTGATTCGTTCCGCTCAAATTAAAAGCCGTTTTTACGCTACCGCTCTCGCCCGGAAGGCTGCTGAGCCGAGTGCAAAGTGAGCGAGAACAAGTCCTAAACACGAAATGAATTGCGAATTATCAGAGTCGGTGGGGTAGCGTATGCGCGTGCACTAGACGCAGATTATCAGATACAGTCGGTGGCCGACGATATTGGCAAATGGCCTGGTCACTCCAGGGCGGCGATGCCAACGACAGTACCAGCGATCAAAAACAGGGTAGATGGCCGACCGGCCTTCGAAAGACAGGTGGCAGTGTGAAAACACGGGCCTCGTCTGGCGATGCGGGGTGCTTAAAGTAGCGGGGTGACTAAAAAGATGAAGGGGTGCGTAACAAAAAGCAGTTGAGGCATGGAGGGAGGAAACAGCTTTTCTTCCTCCATGGGTCGGGGAGAGCAGCAACTAGAGGGTGGCGGAGGCAGGGTCAGCTTTTGACGATGAGAATGTGTAAGCACCTTACCGATGCCTGATCGGTGGTGAAAAGTTGTTTCTCGGGAAGTAAGCAGAGACTGTGACTCCGTTCGCTGTAACCGATCAGCGGCGCTCGGAGACGTTCATTGTAAGTGCGATTTTGTGTCATTGAACCAATGTATATTTTCACGGTCACGCGGATATTGTTCGTTTTAAGCGAAAGTTCGTTTTAAGTAGGGCCATTATATGTGGGCTCAACTGTATTGCACTGAATAATAATGAACTCTGCACGATAGACAGAAATGGTGCAGGCGAATGATGAGCACATTGTTGTGGTTTATATATAGAGTTGTAGCAGTGTAAGAGCTTAGCCAATGGGTTTACTCTTCCTTACAGCCGGCACTCCTGTACCTGGTACCAGCGTGCACCGGCGTACCACTCACCGTTGCAGCCATCATGGGCGACATTACGGCCATGTTCAAGTGAGTATATTGAGGCAGCTTGATCAACATCAAGCTCCTCGGATTTGTTTGTATGAAAACTGGAACAGTGCCCTTGTACTGAAATGGTAATCAGTTCTCTAGGAATTCACGAGGTGGCGGAAGTCTAGCATTTTTGCTGTCAAATTCTGCAACATACCATCAGCTCTCCTTGATCTGCTTGTTATTGGTGTGATAGACAAGTTTTGACTTCTCACGGCAACTTTAAGGATAAACAATTTTTATTTGATTTAAAGTTAAACCTGGATATAACAAAATTTATGAAATCCCAGAAAAATTCGTTATAAAGAGGATTTCCTTACATGCAGGTTCAGTATGAAAATTCAAAAAATAACTGCACAAATTAAACAAAAGGGAGACTGCTGGCAGCCCCAAAGGGCCTGCCGGCAGCCCTGTTACCGTTGTTTAGTGCATGATCTATCACTTTCAACTTGAAAGCAGCCGTGTAGCTTCAGTATCGCCCCATAACGTGGCAAGATTACTGACACAAGATACAAAACATGCTGCAATGCGCACTTGCTACTTTGGCTTGGCTTGGATTGAATCTCCGTGCAATAATAGTAAGCTTGATGCTTAAGAGATGACCCCAGATAGCGCGCACTATCAACATCAGTGGCTGGAACGAGCAGAGGACATTATTGTGGCAGTTTTCGGGGTTGCGATAATTACTCCAGGGGAAAATAGAAATCTTATTTTTGTTAAGTGATGGGGGGGATGCGAGAATTATACGAGTGCGAGGAATACGTGAGTAAATATGGTAATATAACCGTTTTGAAATGAGAGCACACAGATTAGACGCAAACAGAAAGACAGGGACAAGCGCTTACTACCAACTGACAATTCATTTGGAAAACTATGAAATGTATACTGACAGATAAAACAGTGTCATCATGGCACATACGATAAGACCAAATCATGGACCAAAATAACAGAACCGATAAAAGATCTATGTGCGCTTATCTTTGTGTTTGTAAATTATGACTGTGTAATCAAACTGTACTTCACAGCACAAGGCTTATATAATTGAGGCAGCATACATAGCGCGTGAACACCAGACTTGCGTCAGCAAACCATCGATAGCTCAGTCCGATAAGGAGCTAGCATTTTTAGATAGTAGCAGCTGCCATAGGAGTCAAGTAATCACTCGAAAGCACAGTAGGCATTGATATGGTGGGGCTGACGTACATAGATCTTTTATCGGTTCTGTTATTTTGGTCCATGATTTGGTCTTATCATATGTGCCATGACACTGTTTCATCTGTCAGTATATATTTCAGTTTTCCGAATAAATTTTCAGTGGGTAGTAAGCGCTTGTCCCTGTCTTTCTATCCGCGTCTAAGCAGTGTGCTTTCATTTCAAAACAGTTGTGTATCACCAACTCGCCTAATCAACCATATTGGTAATATAACAATTTTTTTTTCTATGACGCTCATTGCACTGCATTCAACGCGTCCTCGAGTTGTTGCCAGAACTAATCGGCTAATCGCGAATGCTACGAGCCTGTGAACTTGCGGCGCAAGACTGTTAATACGTGACGAGACCGCCGAAGATCCGCGGTCACCGTGGTTTCTGAGAGTTTCAATGAGCGCTTAATCTGACATTCCCTCGGTGGTGACGACACGGTTCTCTGCATTTAAAAAAAAAAACAGAAAAGCAAAGCTGAATGTCGTAGGGGGCCACACCATGCGCGCAGTGAAATCATGCAGGCGTGCATGGCATTGAAAACGAAGAGCGAACGATGCAGACACAGATACTGAGGAAAAACTATTTGGTAAGGGGCCCTCCATGTGCAGTGCGGCCTTACATATGTGACGCTAACTAAATGCGTGGCACTGCCAACACAAGAGTAGTTTTTTGTTTGTTTGTTTGGAGGGAGAAGGCACAGGGAGAATGCGGCGACGCCAGCTTGCGCTCACCCGTGCGCAATCACAAGCGCTCGCACTTTGTCAGCTGCAGGACACCCGCAAGATGCATGCTCATACCAAAATCCGGGGCAAAATTCCTAGATTGTTCGTTAGGAAAATTCGTTATATCAAGGTTGTCTCCCTCTGTTACTTTGTTACATAGAGGTCACAAATACATGTGCTTCTATGGAGCAACAGCGTGGAATTGAAGAACTTTGTTATATCAAGGAGTTTTTTAAATAGAGGTTTATTGCTAGCAGGTTTAACTGTATGTGGTGGTTTTTATGGCATACGGCTGTTGCCTCTTTTTGTTTGAACTTTTGCTGCACCTCCAAGCTTGTGTCGCTTGTTGGCAGTAGGCAAAAGTCTTTTAGCAAGGGTGTTGTATAAAGCACGAACTGATAACTTCATCAAATAGCTGCATCTAAGTACAATGCCAAGGAATCTGCTTTAGCACCAACTGTGGCAAGCCACTCTGTGTTCAAAAGTAGCTGCACCATTCCTACATAATCAACATAAATTTCTTGAAAGTGTGCCCAGAGAAGCCTGGGGGGCTAATTTGTTCAGTCGCAGAGCAGAGGAGAGACGGTACAAGGAGGCGAGAGGGAGACGGATTGGTCGAGGCTGATCCGACAGTCAAAAAGTGAGAGTAGCCACCTTACTAGTGCAGAATGGGTGGAGGCCCCGTTTTGTCGATAGAACGATTGCAAAACGGACTCGGCACGTCTTGTATTGGATTGAAGCATAAACTCTTGGACCTGGAGAATCAAATCAGCCTTTTTTGTGCCTGGCTCAACCCGATTTCGCATGGATAGTCCGTGAAAATCGCCACCGAACGACTAGTCAAATTGCAACACCACCTAGCCTCCACCTAAAAGACATTCCTAAATTCATCGCGCTCTTCAATTTACAGCTTTAAGAAACAGTGCTTAAAGGCACTATTATTTGGGCGAGTCTGTACTTGAACATAGTAGTATTTAGAGCGCGTAAACAGACAAGAAATGCGACTGAGTACTTGCCAGTGTTTATGTTGAGCAGTTTATGCTTGTTTAAAACATTCAATACGTGGACGCAGCATGCGGAGGCTCCTTTTAACGCAAAGTAACATACTAATCTTTTCGTCTAAATCAATACGTTCAGTGTTAATGAGGGTAGAATGAGAGCAAGTCACACTTGATCTAACAGCATGGGGTCAACCTGAAAGATGTTTCACGGATCCCCTGAATTCTCGAGAACCCTGTTTGAGATTCCTTGGTCTCGCGCATTGCTGTTGCTTTCGTTTCTTCAGTTTTTGGCTGTAAGAAACTAATTAGACTATCTTTTTGTTTTGAGTCTTGCCTGCATGATTAGCTTCTGCAGCGCTGTTTCATCAATACTGGATCGTGAACACGATGAAGATTCTGGTCACATTTGGTCAGGGGCTTCTGACTGAGGCATAATGCCAGTTTCGCTGAGAATACGGTTAAGCTTGGAGACACGAAATGAAAGCTGCCGCAACATTTATAACTTTTTGGACAAAAGTGTTGCATATTACCGTATTTACTTGCATAATCCTCGCACTGGCATAATTCTCGCACCCCCTACATCGCCCAAGAAAAATACGATTTTTTTTTTCCTCGAGTAATTACCGCACCCCCAAAAACTGCCGCAATAAAGTCGTCTGCTCGTTCCAACCCAATGATGATAGCGCGCCCCATCTGGCGCCATCTCTTAAGCATCAAGCATACTATTGCACGGAGATTCAATCCAATCCAAGCCAAGCCAAAGTGGCCAGTGCGTGTTGCAGTGTGCTTTGTTTGTTGTGTCGGTAATCTTGGCACGTTATGAGGTGATACTGAAGCTACACGGCTGCTTCAAGTTGCAAGTGACGGATCATGTACTAAACAATGGCAACAGGGCCGCCGGTAGGCCCTTCGGAGCCTACGAGTTTTGTGTTCGCTACTGGTGACGGCAGCTGAAAGCCGCCAAGACGCGTTGGGTCTGCAGTGTGCCTAAAACTGGGATTTATAGTAAACTTTATTTCTTCAGAAGGAAACTGCAGACGATTCTGTTTAATAGCCATCAGCCCAATGACGTCCTATGCTTACCTTTTGAGGGCTTCTGTTCAGCGACGAATGCTACCGCTACGCCCGCAACGCCCACAAGCTTTGCGTGTGGTATTCTAATTCTCAACTATTTGCTTCCACTTTTTGTGTCTCAAATGTCTCAAATAAATCTTGTCTTGTGTTGAACCTCTGCTTTTATTGTTAAGGTAAGTTCTAATTAGTACTTCTTAAAGCTTGCTGTAAGTTGCTGGTGTGAGAATCCCGATTTGCGGTCACCTCGTTTTCTTTTTCGCTCTCTGCGTTTTCGTAGAAAGTTTTCCTCGCGTAATTCTCGCACCCCCCAACTTTGCATTGGTTTTCCGGCAAAAAAAGTGTGAGAATTATGCGAGTAAATACGATAGTAGCTGTGCATGATGTGATGCCATTCTAATATTCAATGCATTATGTCAGCCTTTTTCATGGTCCTATGATGCACGCACGTTTTCTCTTGCAGTAAAGTCTAGAAAGGGTCTCCGCACCTCTTTTCATTTCAGAGTCTTTTATTCTGGTGATTCTAGTTGTCCTGAATCAATCCACAAACCTTTGTGCCCTTGCCAAAGCGACAGGGAGGGCACAGGTACATGAAAAAGGGGGGGATTAAGACGGATGGTTGCAGCGGCATTCGAAAATGCGCATGTACGTATATTGCAAGTGTTCGTCGTTAAAATATTATTCTTTATTGAGCGGTCATGCTCTGTTTGTACATGTCTATAAATGGCCAGATGAAACGAGTCCACTACATGTGGTGTGTCTGAATGCAAGTCGCTCCCTCCCGTAGCATTGAAGTTTTCCAAAGTGGGAGCAGAAGGACTCGGAATGGCTAAAATATAGCTGCTACAAGGTGCTCAACAGCTGGGTGCTTCCGTGCTTTATTTCCAAATGGGGGAGGTTGTGTGCATATGCGCACAAGCTCTCGCATGTGAGCGATTGGTCACCATAAATGGTCCTCCAGTGGTCAGTAGACCGTTTTAGTGTCACTAACGATGTCTCTGACTTTTTCAGCTCTTGTATTGCCGTTTATCATTTATTTCTGTTTTTGATTAATCTGCTTCATTTTCTGCCATTGTCATTTTTTTTTTGTCCATTTCTTTTTTCTGTGTTTTGTGTAGCAAAAGTGCACTGTTATCGAGGCCTAGAGCCATTCATGAGCACTTGCAAAATAGAATGTACGAACGTATGAAAGTCCTGATTTGCAAAACCCTGTTACACCAATTTATCTTGCTACTGCTTTTACCAGCTACTACACGCAAATTTTTTCTTTCTTTGCAGGTACGAAGACCACCCAGTGGATGAAAAGGCATCGGGCACTGACGAGCAGCTCGAGCGAGAAGCGGACGGCGACAGTGACCAGAAAACACCCAAAGCGTCGCCAGCGTCTGCGAAAAAGAATTCTAGGAAAGAAAAGTGAAGCGCTTCGTCAGAATCGGGACGATGCCGCTGCGGAGGGACAATTCGGGGGCCGTATTTCAAAACTTAGGACGCTGTTTTCGATGTTCTGAGCGTTGCAGAAAGTGCGGACATCGCAAGACGTTGTGACATTTGAAACTATGAAGGAAAGGAAACTGATATGAAAGTTTCTCCGAGCATTTGCGCAGGAAAATATTTGACCGATTCAGTTCGTGTAACGTGATTTGCTTCCAGGCAAACAATGGAGCGTGCTGCAATGCTGACGTGATGCCATGTGCGGCTAAGGGTCCCAGCTCGTGGCAGTTTTGCTGATTCGTTGGTTGTAAAACCAACTTATTGTGATGCCGAAACGGTCCTTATGAAGGGTTTCGTTTCAGTTAAAAAAGTCTTAAGCGTTTATTGAGATAATTTGGAAAGCTGTGCAACAGCCTTTGCCTTTGTTGTAATATTATATACCTTCTTTTTAAAATAATTCTGAAAGAGCTCTACATTTTTGTAAGGCCCGGTGTCCTGACAACTGTTCATGTGTTTCATTGTTTACTGTTACATCGACATAGCATCTGAGCAACTCAAAAACCGAGCCATATTCCGGGTTGAGAGACAAGTTGGGAAACCTAAACATTGCAGAAGACGCATTTGGCTCATAGTGTAATTTATTATGACATTAGGGCTGTGTGAAAATTGCATGATCAGTTTGGTTTGTTTAAGAACCTATAGAACGTTCATTTCATAGACATTTGTGATCCATCAAAATGCAAGGTTTTTTTTTTTTTTTCAATTTTAGTTTTCATTGGTAGTCCTAGCTGTCAATAGACAGCTTGAATGTCAAATTCTTTCCTTGCAGAGCAGAATATTTTTGTACTTCAGTCGAGAGTCCAAATGAAAGTAGAGGTTAAAATAATTCACGAGCATTGTAGTCTTATCACTTGCTTTTGTAATAAAAAAAAGAGGGGGTGATGGTACCACTTGTCTTGTTTGGTTGTGCTCTTTCCAGCCAAAGAGAATAAAAAGATGTTTTCACACCTGTTTTGCGGCTTCGCGTGTGTGAGCAATTCACTTCATTGTCTCGTGAGGAACTGAGCTAGTGTAGACCACTGGGAGTAAGTTTAGACTGTAGCTGAGAGTTTCAAGTAGGTCCTTGCGACTTGGGTTGTACTACTATGTCTTAGATACGGGGGTGTCTCGAAACTTGTGTATAAGCAGCCATTTTTTGTTAGCAGGCACTCTTGCTATGACCACCTGATATAATATGGGCTGCTGCTGGTGGCGGTAAAGGCAAATGAATTGGCAGTGTTAATGAAGCTCTAGAATGTTTCTTCTGCAATACTGTTGCAACACATTTAGTACTGTGTGGCCATGGCTGCAGCTTTGAGGGAGATCTGTTTGTAGAGTTTGTCATTTTGATACCAGCACTTGCCCATTGGTTATATGCCAACATAATGACAATTCTATTTATACATTATTATTCCCTCTCCATGCTTGCTTGTATTTGAAAGAGGTGTTTCATCAGAAATTCCCAGTCGTGCAAGTAGGCTTCGAAATCGCCTACAATGATTGGCTACATTTTGTCAGATCAACCTAAGGAAGTGGTGCTTTGTAACATGTGAGTGCCATGCCTGGCCTCTTCTTACATCTTTTTGAAGACATGCTTACTCCCTCTGATTGATATGGGGGGTTTAACGTCCCAAAACCACCACATGATTATGAGAGACGCCGTAGTGGAGGGCTCTGAAAATTTCGACCACCTGGCGTTCTTTAGCGTGCACCCAAATCTGTGCACACGGGCCTACAGCATTTCCACCTCCATCGGAAATGCAGCCGCCACAGCCGGGATTCGATCCGGCGACCTGCGGGCCAGTAGCCGAGTACCTTAGCCACTAGACCACCGCCGCGGGGCTGCCTACTCCTTGTGTAATAGAAACAAATATTGATACACAAGTGCTGTCAACCACAGCTGTCGTTCAGTCTCCCATGGACTGCTTTATTGGCAGCATTTGAGGTTGCTGTGATCTACAGTAGAAATGGCTGTGTCTCCACTCCTGTTTTAAGTTTCCAGAGGAAGGAATAACTGTAATGACTTAATGAAAAGGAATACTTTTGTTAGTATCATTCAGTGTGAGCTGCATGAAGCATGGCACCTGTGCACAATTGGGTCACTAGACTGCATGCTGCCATGAACTAGAACTCGTTTAACTTAAATACTGGTAGTTGGAATGATGCAGGATCTTTGTTGAAATGCATATTCATTGCAATCTGTGGTGACCAAGATATGATATGCAGACTTAGATTAACAAAGAATTCTCACTCAAGAAGCCCCACACATGCAGCAAGCAATCTAGGAAAAATTGTTAGCCGCGACAGCAAATGACCTGGAAGATGGTGGTCTGTATTTAAGACAGTGAAATGAGGTTAACAAACAAGACAAGGAAATGGCTGAACTAAGCAACACCCTGTGAAGCCCCATTTTGAACAGTTTACATATTAATGAAAGGACGTGAAGAAAGAGAGAGTAAGCATCTTTATTTGAAGATACATCTGATACATCTGTAATGATACATGGCCTTAGTCTAACTTGCACTTACAGGTCATGATAAAGTACTAAAATTGGGTGCTACTGTAATGCAAAGGGTCTTAACATGACGTATCCAGGGAATGGCATACTGAACCCATGCCCCGGCCAATATATATATATATATATATATATATATATATATATATATATATATATATATATATATATATATATATATATATATATATATATATATATATATATATATATATATATATATATATATATATATATATATATATATATATATATATATATATATATATATACATATATATATATATATATATATTGCGATTGCATACAGAGCGAAAAATGTCTATTTCAAGGAGGTGCCCCCCCCCCCCTTCCCCACACACGCACAAAAAAAAAAATTTCTTCCTACGCCCTTGCTTGGTATGATGGTTGGTTTTAGTTATGATGGCATTTTTGAAGCTACTTCTAATTGAATGTGGCTGTTACATTTCCCCTAAACTGCATGACGCCTGTGCAGCTCTTCGGAAACTTTGGAGGATAAGCAATCTAGCACTGTGTTACCTGTTGGAGTGAAGGCGCGAACATTATAGTCACACCGATATTCAGTTTCACAGATATGATCATTGATGCGACACCTACGCAATGTGTGTCACGGCAGTCGGTGCACAGGAACTATCGTGTTTTGGCTGAGAAATGGCCACTGAGTGGATCAAGTCAGAAAGTTCATAATATGCACATCAGTCGTTTGTCCAGGCAGTGCATTTGTGACACAATCAGGACACATATGCATGACTGCTCAGAATTGATTCATGTGAACAAGAGTCGCACATATGATCGACTTCCTAACTTTTAACAGCACAGAACTTTACGGGCCCGGTTTTTCGTCCATCTAGCTATAGTGCCCAGCACCAGTGCAAAACAAACAAGGTTCAAATATGGACTAGTGAAATAAGCAAAAGTTGATCTCGGTAATTTACCTTATATCACGCAAAAAGCCCTTCTAACACATTGGGCTAATAATACCTGCAACACACAAGAGAGGGCGCCACTGCCTTGGCAAGCGCGTGATTACAGTGTACTGTAGCGTGATTGCCAAGGCTGGGTTGCCTGTGCTTCAGAAGTTTCTTTATTAGCTTCAGAAGTGTACATTGTGAGTAAGTATGCAGGAAGTCCCAAGGTAGTAAACCGCATGCGGGACCTCCTATGTTAATACAATGAAAAAGCTAAATTATGAATAACGAAAAAGCAAGTCACGGAACATTTCGAACTTTTTTTTTTTACAAACAAAGCAAGATATCAAAAATTAACAAAATCTAGCAGTTATACGTTTAATAGAGACTTTTTCAATTTTCTCTTAAAAACATGAATGTGCATTAAGTCTTTCACATCATGTGATAAAGAACTCCATAATGAAATTGATGAAAAAACAATGCTCATTTTTCCATTATTAGTGTGAACTTTAGGTAATAACAGGCTATGGGCGACAGCGAATCTAGTATTATTGGAATTATCCAACAAGGTAATAGGAAATATGTCGATAGTGAGGGTACGGTGGAAAATTTTGAAAAACAAAACACACACATTATAAACGTACATTTGGGAGATGGGTAATACGTCAAGCTGGCGAAAAATCTCATGTGATGGCGCTTGACGTGAAGCGAAAGTTATGAGTCGAATTGCTTGTTTTTGCAATACCTTTAACGGCCAAATGTGCACCGAATATGAATTACCCCATGATGTAATGCAATAACTGAGATGACTGTGTATGAATGCATAATACAATGCCTTCAGAGTTTTGATGTTAAAACACATTCGTGACTTGATCAATGCCCTGATACCGTACGAAATCTTTTTACAAACAGAATTGATATGTTGCTGAAATTTCATATGTGTGTCCATTATAACTCCTAAAAATGACGTATGATCACTCAAAGAAATAACTACTGAGTTCACATAAAGGTAAGGAATGAATGCTAGTTTTTTGTTTGGGGAATAAAAAAGCATAAACAGGTTTTGAAAGGATTAATCAACAATCTACTAGAGTTGCACCAGTAAACAAGACAATTAAGGTCAGCTTGAAGTCTTGACACGAGAGTCGCTAAATCCAAGTGATGAGAAAAGAGAGTCGTGTCATCAGCGTAGAGTAAACAAGAAGAATAATTAAGGCAACGTGGTAAATCATTTATGAACAATAAAAATAATAACGGACCCAAAATTGAACCTTGCGGAACACCTCTTGTAATAGGGTTGGGACTGGATGTAAAATTTTCGACCGAGACCACCTGAAACCTATTAAGAAGAAAGCTCTGTAATAGCGTTAACGCGGGACCAGTTATGCCATAGTACTGGAGTTTGCGAAATAGGATGAAATGATCAATACTGTCAAATGCTTTAGTAAATTTGACGAAAACAGATCCTGCGATGTTACCGTTATCAATGAATGATCTGATTTTGTCAGTGAAACAAGTAATTGCACTATCAGTGGAAAGACCAGCCCTAAAACCGAACTAACAAGGAGAAAGTATGTTAAATTTGCTTAAATATTTAGATATTCTTATTTCAATTAGTCTTTCTAAAATTGTATCCAGGATGGGAAGGACACCTATGGACCTGTAATTGCACATGCTGAGGGTATCACCCTTTTTAAATACTGGCACTACCTTCGCAACTTTTAATTTATCCGGGAAAACACCGTTCTTCAAACAGTGGTTAAAACGTGGCTTAATATACGCGCTACAAGATATCTTACAGGTTTAATGTGCTTTGAATGGATGTTCTCTAACCCAGCTCCGGAAGCTTTTAATCCAGAAATAATTGAGGAAATTTCAGAAGCACATGCAGGAAAAAGAAACATCGACTGAGGACTGTGAGAAAACGGAGGTACATAGTCTGAGGTGAAGGGGACTGCAAGGCTAGTGGAACAGTGTACAGTAAAGACTTTGGCCACGTCACTGGCCGCAGTGAGGGTGACGTTGTCGACACGAATAGATGTCACTTTTCTGCGCGACTGAGTGGAATTTAAAAATTGTTTTAAAAGCTGCCATTTTTTTCCTGAGTTATGTCCACAATTCTGTAGTTCCCGCTGATAATAACTTCGTTTAACCTTTCTCAAAAGTATAGCTAATGTGCTGCAGTATGTTTTATAGTGTGATTTCAAGCGTGAATTAAAAGTTGACGTTTCGTCTTTTTATATAGGTTCTCTTTTTTTGCGAAGAGATCGTATCAGTGATTGTGTTAATTAAGGGCACCGTGGGGCGAAGTAGCGTCTGTTAGATGATTGCAATGCAGTTGAACGCTCAACTGCTGAATAAATAGCGTCGTAGAACCTGGTCAAGGCCTCTTCAGGATCGTTCGCGGCATATACACTGGACCTATCTTCATCGGCAATGAGCATGCAGTACTTGTCTGAATCAAAGCGATACTTCTCACGTATTATGTTGCTACGAGTGATGAACTGTTCAAAATATAGGAATACAGGA